TACTTTTTACACACACAGACTTTAAATGCCTGTGGTTCCCAGGTATAATATGTATTCGGAAGGGCTCCATCTTCATCACCTTAAACTGCAGCTGGTAACTGTATTTCCCTTGTCCCTGCTGCCTATCCCAACCACAAACAAAACAAAACAACACAAAACAATGCTACCCGCAGACCAAGATGGTGGATCTGAAGTCTGTCTACGAGCTGAGAAATCAAAGATGCATCTAATTAATAACTGTCACAAACAATATAAACTATTATTCATTAATTTATAAAAGAAAGCACAGGTTGGTCGAACGGTCACACAGAGAGCCACTTCCCCTGTCACCACCACATACAGAAATTCAATGAGAAACACTGAACAGATACAATCAGCAGCTGCAGCGACACACTGTTGTTTAGACACAAACTTTAGGTCATGGTACTATTTGACTTTAAAGCTCTGTAAATATCAAAAGCATGAAAACAGTCCGACCAGTGTTGCCCAGAAACCTGCCTGAAATTCTGGACCTCAAAGACCTTACCTGGGAGGTATTCTCCTCGTACGTCAGGTAGTGATTTGTCACAGGCCAAAGTTCACCTTTCAGCTAATACCTCACCCTGACTATTCTGAGAAATGCCTGCCCCCCTCCACAGCTTCTAACTTTTACTTCATTTCTCTTCTGGTTTCAGAGGAAGCAGCTGATTCTTCTCTACTTTTCCACGGAGCGCATGAAGTCTAAGACTAACTTGCTTTCTTCGTCTCTCCGCTCCTCCCCTCTGAACAAACAGCTGAGTTTCTTCCTTTAACTTGTGCAAGGTACTGTAGCTCCACCCCTCCTGGCACTCACTGTGAGGAAACACTCCTCTCTGCTGCAACTATGACTCTTCACTACCTTTATCATCTTGTGGGAGGTCAAAGGTAGCCTGGATAAATCACTTGGCAACTGATTTATCATCTTTAATCCCAACCTATTTTTGAGCTGACATTTTATTGTCGTGCTCACCTGGCTGGAAGAGCAGTGAATCTGAAAATGAAACACCCCCATTAACCACATGACCACAAGTATGCGTGAGTGTTTTACGGAAATACGGACAGCAGTAACAGACTGATAGGGGAGACAAAGAAGTACTATTGTTGTGATCAAAACAATGACACGAGAAGCATGCACAGGCCAGACTTTAATAATTCATAGCTCAATGTTTACCATATAAAATTAACTTTCATTATTTTAAAGAAGTAGTTCAACAGAGCAATGCAGGAACACTAACACACAACTTGTTCGAATTTATTCTTTGGATCTGTATGTGTTTTTCTGTGTCTCACCACATAAACAATATTGTGGGAAAAAATGACTTCACAAAGGCAGAAAACTGCTGATCCTCACTTACAAACATTTCTGGCCACAAGACATCCAGTGAGGTCACAACAGGTGTTTTAGATTAGATGGAAGACCGAATAATAAGGAAACACTCCCACGTTGTTACCTCCTATTTTAAATGAACTATAATTGAAGCGGCTCCAGGGAGCTGTGCTGTTCAGAGGACTTTATGGAGACTTATGAGCATCAAACAGCATTAAAACTCATTACATTTTCATTGATCTATAAAAAGTATTTAATATTATAGAGAAAATATTTAGAGTAAGAGATGACGGCTAAATAGTTATCAGTATGTGGAAATGGATACTGCTGAAAAATACTTATGGGGAAGCACAAAGTCCAGTCCTGTGCCTCATATGTTTTATATTATATAATAATGACATTGTCAGTTATCAAAACTACTTTATTTTAGAAATGCAGTATCAATGTGGAGAAAGGGGATATTAAATAAAGATGTAAATCTGAAAATGGTTCAGTTTGGGGAGTATCTTTAAAGGGTTATAAGGAGAGTGGAGTTCATTATATAGATAAAGATGTTCATAAAATAAAATTGAAGCATAGTTATGGTTATGAAACTGTCGTTTTTCATCTTCTGTGCATTTTCTTTGGTCTTTGGGTTTTTTAAATGAAATTTAGTTCTAAACGTGCTGCTATATAAAAAGTGTAATTTGCCTTCTTTCTATTTGATTAATTTCTTTCTTGTGGACATTTGTCATTATCAAAGTTTTCAAAGACCCAGCTTTGGTTTAATGTAAAATTGCAAACACAGTAACCATCTTTATAAAGCTGTAGGCAGATCTCCAGAAAGCTAATTCTAATACCAGGGAGCTGAGACATTCTTCAGCTATTAATAAATCTTCTGACATCCCTCCCCTTCAGCAGCACTCTAGAGACAGAGTCCAACTGTTAGTTAAATAAGAAGAGCTGTTTGATTAAAGGAAATGGTAAAAAAAAAAAAAAAAAAAAAAAAAAAATTTGAACTGTTCCTGTTGGAGGTAAAAAAATGTCAAATGTGGTCCTGAGACAGAAGGTAGCATCATTGCTCTGTAAGTCTATGATGCCGTAATTGTTTGTTTTGTT